AGAAGCTGCTTGGACAAGCAGTGAAATGTCTCTAACCAAAAACAAAAGAAGTCCAGTTGCCATGACTCAACCTCCAGACCTTCCCCAACCAGCTGCTCTCTGTATGTTGGGACTACAAATCCCACAAACCTCAGGTAGAAAGTTCTGGATGCTGTAGCCGGTCATTGGAGAGGCTGGGACAGCACCCAGAAACCACGCCAGGACTGGCAGAACTGGGCCATTGGCCACAGCCGTGGCTGCCCTGCGCTCCGAGGCAATCCTCTCTCTCTCTCCTTTTCCGCTCCTTTTGGGAAAGTTTCCCCAGTGAAGATGTAAGAAATGCAAGATGGGGAGAAGGGGAGTCAAAATGGCCTGCCAAAATATTCTGGCTGTAGCCTCTTGCTCAGGCCTCTACCAGCCCCCAGCGTCTGGCCCTGGCCCATTACTCTAGCATTTACGTTTTGCAAACGTTACACAAAACCCTTGCAACAGCCGTGCCTCTGCTCACAGAGGGAAAAAGGCAGAGGATCCAGGAGGGGTGTGTGTGTGTGTGTGTGTGTGTGTGTGTGTCCTGTCTAGGAAGGTCCTGGGGATTGTGCAGCCCAGACCCTCCACATTCCCACCAGAGCGGCCACCCCCCTTACCGTCTGCCTCGTGCTCTGCTGCACCTTCTTTCTCTTCGGGGGCTTCAGGCACAATCTGGGTGGAAAGAAATGCAATGAGAACAGGGGCCCATTCTGCCCCCCCGGAGGAGCCCCAGAAGGGAACCAAACCAGCGTGGGCAGGATCTGCAGGCCATCCAGATTTGTAGCGCCACTCGGAAAGACCCATCCCGCAACACCCTGGTTTGATCTGGGGATGGGGAGAGAAAGTGGCTGTTCACAGCAGCCATTGGCTGGCCTCACAGCCACCATCGTTTCTCTCCCCTCCTTCCTCGGCTTGAGATTTTTTAAAAATTAAGTGGACTAGAAATGCACGCGTCAGAGATTAAGAGGGCAGCGGTGTTAACTATTTTCAACTTTCCGAACAACCATCACCAGAAAAACGGCAGAACTGGTTCCCAACATGTGCCTAACCCGGATGGCTTTCTCTGCCGCCAGAGGTCATCAAAATGAGCTCCCGTGGGGGCTGATCAGAGGTGGTGCTGGTCTCTCCTGCGGCCATTTTATGCTCTGCTTCGTTCTCTCATTTCAGCCACTCCCTTCCACAGGTGGGTGGCTGGCTCACCTGAAGGCTAGAAAAGGTTGGGAGCACCTGGACAGGCCTCCGGATCCAGCCCAGCGACTCCCGTGCGCTCGGCAAAGGCTCGGCGCGGCCCGACAAGACTATGGTTTAAGTCAGTGTTGTCCAAACTTGGCCACTTTAAGATGAGTGGACTTCAACTCCCAGA